ACTTCACTAAGAATAAACATTTCGGACATAATGCTCATAAAAGTACCAACCTTATTTTTAAACTTCATAACCATTCGTGGTCAATGCGATTACCAGTAAAGCGGTCCACGATTTATCAGCATATCTATTTGTGCATAGGATTCGTCACCATATGGCTCTTCCTGTGGGACGTAAAGCAAAAAAATGCCGATGAAACAAACTCTTGTGAAACCAAAATCAATACTACTATCGTTGAAAAAATCGGCGAGATCAAAGCCGAAATTAATAACAATCTTACCACAAAAATAAGTTCACGTGACGCTAACTATGCAACGGAGGCAAAATATTATTAACATGATAAATGGGAAATATAACGAAATCGAGCGAGTTCTAGAAACCTACCATAATAATTTTAGTCAAATTGCAATTGATTTCGAATCGGTCGGCAGGATGTTCAGAGCGAAATCAATTAGCAACACTCCCTTGTCCAGATTGTTAACAGGAGAAGATCTGACCAGTAAAGCGAGACTTCATCAAATTTCTCGGATTCAAGCCAAAGATTTGCGAATAATCATTTTTGTAATTCGGGAGCAATTTTCGATAGGGTTAAGGTGCAAGGGATTATTCTTTAGATCAGATGTGTGCTATCGTATCGGTTTATATTCTTAAACTTGGGACGGGATCAATTGGAAAAGATACAATAAAGAAAAATTAGAAAAAAATAGGTGCTTGGATAGATAACACCTTTGAGTAGTGGAAAGGAACTGCCAATATATGGGTTAGGGCTCGGCAGGCTTAAACAAGCAGGCATGATCTTTTATGCCTTTCCTCCCTTGAAACATCCTGCTACTCTATTATTTTTTATTTTCATTTTTACTTAGCCGGCCGGCCTTTCTCATATATTATTTTACAAAAAAAATAGCTTAGCATTGAAGCTCTGTTTCTCGATATGCGTCGCGCATACTTTTTTATTGAGCAATTAAAAAAATAATTTGCGTAACATATCGATATGTATGTACTATGGAAATTTTGCATGATGTAATATCTGTGCAACGACAGACTTTCCTTTTTATTTTTATCGAACCACAGTCAAAGATGGTAATGAAATACTGGGAAAGATATTTAGATACTAATCATGTTTCGTTTCGATAGCTCTTTTAAATTATTTCGAAGGGACTGATTCCAGCCTTTGGTCATACATTGATTTTTTGAAACTAAATCGTACCCTTATCATCAATTCACCACCTTTCAAAGATCAATGGAATACTCTCGATGGTACATGGAATAGGCGATTTATACAAGCAGGAAAAGAGCTATTAGACTTAACGTTAGGTGAAGCTTTTGAGAGTAAGGTAATTTCGTTCTAGTAATTTCATTCTAGTTTAATTACGGTAAGGGAACTCCTTGACACGTGTCTACTTGTCTTGGAGTATCATGAGTCTTCCTGGCCCTAGTGATGGTATGGAAAACTCCTTGCCACGTGTTACTTGTCTTGGAGCATCATGAGTCTTCCTGGTTCCTACCATTGCGTTCTGCTCTGTTGTGTTTTCGGTTCGGTTTATTAAGGTGTTGAAACGATTAATTATCTACTTTATTTAACAAGGTGAACCTGGAGCGTGCCAAATCCAACCTGTGCTCCTTTTGGCAAGAAGTGATCATTGAGCGACTACGGGTAAGGCCAAAGAAAATATCGGAATTTTTAATTTTATTAACGCATCCATTCCTGAAAAGAATTTCTATAATTATCATACTGTGTTAGCACCAAGTTCAAGCCACTTACGATAAGGAAACCCTTCTTACGTTTGATGAATCAGGTAAATTCTTTGGAAAGCAACTGCGCTTACCATACAATGAGGAGGCAACCTCTTCGGATGATAAACGTGCTTTTGATAGCACTTTAGATTCAGATTTAATTTCCCCTGTGAGGGCAAAGAAGGTTAGCATTGAATATTTGTAAATAATCCCGCAAAAATTTCTTCTCACCTTTTTTTTTATACAGTGCCCTACCAAAATATTGTGGACACTTTTTAAATTTTTATTATTTGAAATTGGCCAAGTAAATGTAACAC